ATTGTCAGTGATCCCCAAGAAAAGGTACGTCATGTTCTACAATTATACATAAGGTAAAACAAATAGGCATTTTTTTACAATCATACCCTAGTCAAACAAGAAATGTGGCACACTACTAACTAGTAATGACCGGCTAGCTGCTCTAAATTATAATTGTGTGTGTGTGTGTGTGTGTGTGTGTGTGTGTGTGTGTAACACGGGTCCTCTCGCACTGGACTACATCCCCAGCCCCTTTTTAAAAGTTTTTATTTTTCGGTACTGTGGCTCGCACATTCCCAGTACTCTCCCTCGCCTTATTTTGAGACAGGGTCTTGCTGAATTGGCCATGCTGGACTTGAACTTGCCATCCTCCTGCCTCAACCTCCCAGACTGCAGGCGTGTGCAACCAAGGCAGGCTTCCATAAACGTTTAATAAGTTCTAAAATTAGAGCTGTCCCCACTTAGGAGTAATAAGCCAGCTGATAAAAGGAGAATCTTTGTACCTGAGAGGAAGGGATTGGTCCAAGGTCACATACCTAAAACAACCTGCAGCTCTTAAGGCGGCATGGATTCAAAGTGAACCTGGTGTCAAATGCCAGGTTCATTGTTTACTGATACTGTATTGCTACCGTACCAGGCTCGTGGTTCTGCTAAGGACAAAGAATGAAGTCGTAAACCAAAGGAGAAAGGAGAATTTTTATTGGAAGTAAATATCTCCTGGAATTTCAGGAGGGGTCCCAGATGGGTAGCTACACCCCCACCCCCCAGTGAGAGCTAATTATAAACAGAGCACAGGAATTGCTCAATTTTTTAGTGGCCACCTATCACAGCCTGAAGAAGTTCGTTCTTTGTCCAAAGTCCTAGTTCACTGTCTATTCTTAATTTTTATCAGTGTGACTGGTTGCCCAACTCTAACTCAGGCCCTTCCATTCGCTAGCTGACTCATAAACTAACTAAATAAAGCATTTTTTTTTTTTTTTTACAGTATGAGGAAACCACACTCCACCTTAATACAATAGCTATCCTTTATGGATAGAGTCCGCCATTTCCTTCTAGTTGCTTCATATCACCACTTACGCAACTGCAGCTTATGGGTGGCAGCCACTACTTTCTGACATTCTACGAAACATCTTGGGTTCCCTGACAGGTATCTTCTGTGTCCTTGAGGACCTGGGGGTTTTTGATCTGTGTTTGGATCCCCTTGATTCCCTATGGATAAGCACTAGAAATTCTCTGTAGACACAAGGGCTGCAGCATCTTCAATAACCTAAGGACCTGTGGCTTCATCTTTGAGGACACCAGTGTCTGTCCCACACAATTGAAGTAAACCATGAAGGGCCTGACTGAGCCCTTGTGCACCTCAGGTCCTAGGACCTTGTGGATTCCTTGCCTTCCTGGGTACGAGGCTGCTGTCCTAAGCCCTCTGTTTCCTTTGATAGCCCACTCCAGGGCCTTGCTGGGGACTAGCACCCTTGTAGTTGTAGTCATAAATTCTGAGGGTTCAGCAGGACACAAACACAAGCGTTCAAGTCAGGCTTTATTGGATACAATGAAGACTGAATGGGGCCTCTGGTGCCCTTAGTCCACTTCAGCCAGGAGAAAGAAGACTCCACAGGGGGTTTCCAGGGTTCAGAACAGGAGAACATAGCTGACCTCCAGCCAGCCAGCCCTTCAGTGTGTCTCTGCGGCTCCCTGAGATCTGGGGCTTGGTGGAGAGCCTGGGGTTTGGATGGGGAAGTCCAGGGATCCTCTATAACTCTGGAACTAGGATGAGAACTTTTGGGGAAAAGGCTCTGGCCATCCAGGACAGCTTGGGGCTGGAGAAGGCCTGGGCTTTGGGGAGGCTTGTTCTGGGGCCTGAGGTGGAGGCCCTGAGCTTCGGGTGGAGTCTGGTGTTTGAAGATGTGCAGACCTGAGGCTCCTGGCCTGGGAGGGTGTGCCTGGAGCTGAATCTGCCTGGGCCCTAGCTCTGGGGCCCTGGGCTGCAGGTTCTTGACATGGAGGGGACTGAGTAGCCTTGCCCCCAGGCCCTACTTCCTCCTGCCTTCTTTTTGGCAACAGATTCAAGGCCCTGGCCTCGCCCAGGGGCAGGCGGAGGCCAAAGCCAATGCCTATTCGGAGTGGCCCAGATTCTTGGTTTGGAGCACAGGGCAGTAGTTGAGGGAAGGCAAGCAGCCGGGGTATAGTACTGTACCTGGGGATAGGACAAGAAGGACTTCGGGGCTGGAGGCACACTAGGCATATAGGATACTCCACTACTGGGGCCTCGTTGGTTCTGCCAAGCCACAAGTACTGAAAAAGCAGTAGCCGCAGGTCTCGTGCGATGCGTCGAAGCCCCAGCTGGGCCACTAAGGCCTGGGCCAGGGCCCCTGGGTCCCTGAACTCTGCAGGGTTCCTCTTGTCTGCCGTGCACCCCACTCCCACCCCAGGAGACCTGGTTCCTCTGCGCCAGTGCCATGCCTGCCTGTTCGAGTGGACCCCTGGAGAAGTAAGGGAAGGGCTGGGGGGTGTGAGTTGGGAGCTAGGGAGGTCTTTGGGGCAGGAAGGGGATTGGCAGTGGGATCCGGGAAAAGAGTTCTGTGGCTGGGAAGGAGAGGAGGGGTGGGTAAGAGGAGGAGAGGGGTACAACCAGTAGTAGTTCCAGGGAGAAGAGGAATGTGGAAGGGAGAGGTAAGGGTAGCTCTGGTGAAAAAAAGTGGGGCAACTTGGGAGAGAGGAGGAACAGGGGTGTGGAGCTAAGTCAGAATTAGCATCATAAGAGCAGACGTGAGGGCTGGAAGAGTGGGGCTGTGGAAGTGAGGAGGAGGAGAGGTAGGACTGCGGGGAGGACGAGAAAAGTGGGTGAGGAGAACGGAGGGGTTGATGCAGAGACTGAGGCTGGATGTTGGGATGAGGGGAGTCCACAAACTGTGAGGGGCCCGAAGACGAACACTCAGGAGGAAATGTATTCGGTAGCAGCACCTGGTCCTGGTTTTGAGGCTGCATTGCCTTGAGTCCAGAAGGGATTGGGCGACAAGATGAGGGATTAGAAACCTAGCAGAGTCAGGACTCGGATCTCAGAGCCCAGTGGTGGCTGAGCATCCAGGCTGCCTTCTGGGTGCTGTGCTGCTCCAGACTGGTGGTGCCGCTGCTGGCATTGGCAATAGGCCAAGGACGCGCCCGCGTTGCTGCCTAAGGCCCTCGGAGTGCTCAGGTGGGAACCTCGGTGTAAGCCTGGCTTTCTCACATCTTTGTAGTCAGCCGTTGATGAATATAGAGGAATGGAGAATCAGAACTGCCCCTTGGGAGCTGAGGGGCTGTGGTGATTTTCTGATGGGACTGAGAGGAAGACACAGCCCATGGGACCTGCAGAGAGAGACAGCGGACATGGTATGGGAGGATCAGGCCCCCTCTGGCCCTGCGTTGGGTGCCCAGTTTCAGAACAAACTCTCTAACCCCAGAACTTTTTCCCTTTTGGGTCAGAAAAACTAGCAAAATGTTCCAGGGAAGGTGAGAATGGGGAAAGAGAAAAGGCAGAGTTAGAGGAGGGGTTTGGAATGGGGAGGAAGACAGGAAGGGGCGGGAGGCTCTGGGGCTGTGACTTCTCACCACTGAGGATTTCTCTCGGCCTCTTTTTACAAGGCACTTAGTGAAGAGGGGATCCGGGAGAGAGAGGAGCAGAGCCATCAAACACTGACTATCCCTCCCTCTGCCCCAGCGCCTATCACCCGCACTCACCCTGACCCAGGATTCTGTCTGAGTGTTGCCCTAGTCCTCCTGCAGCCAGGCAGAAGTCCTCTGTGCTACTAGTGTTTGGCCTCCTAATCCTGACTCGGAGATTCTTCAAGCATGCTGGATTTCTGTCACTAGTTCCCTGACCCCTTGTCTCCCCAGTGTGGATGTCCTCTCTAGATCAGCCAGGCCCTGACTAAGATGGTCTATCACATCCAGCAGCCACAGCAGCAGTGGGGTCAGCTGGTAAATGCCTGTGGGAGACTGAGGCTTTGTCTAAGGGGCAGCATGGCCATCCCCAGTGGGAGCTGAAGGCCCCATTTCCTCAGGCAGCTCTCCCTGGTGTGGAATGCCTGTGTCACAGAGGTCAGACGCTGATGTCATAAAATCTCGTCCTTGAGGTACTGGGGCCTTCTCTCAGGGATCATGTGAAGGCTGGTCTTTGACAAAACTGTGAAGCGGGTAGAACTGTTGAATGCCTCAGTTTCTCCTTCAGGACCTAGGTGGCACCCTGCCCAGATAATTTATAGCTGGCACAGCTTCATCCGTTGTTCTCCCAGCCACAGAGCCTATCTGAGCGCTTTTCAACTTCCTGTCTTCCTCTGCTCTCTAAGGAGCTGTTCATGTTCCACACCTTTCCACCCCTTGGGATGTGCCTATTATATGCTTTAGAACTATTTTCTTAACACCTTTATTAAGATATAATTTGCATACATACAGTCTGCCCATTTATTTATATATTTATTTGTCTTGTTTGAGACAGGGTCTCGCTATGCAGTTCAGGCTGGCTTTGAGCTCACTTTGTAGCTCAGGCTGGTCTTGAACTCTCATGATCCTCCTGCCTCAGCCTCCTGAGTGCTGGGATTATAAGTGTGTGCCACCACACCCGACTAAAGATATTGATTGGGGGTTTTTTTTGGTACTGGGAATCGAACTCAGGACCTTGCACTTGCCAAGCAGATCCTTGTGCCACTGAGCTATATCACTGGCCTTAATCTGCCTATTTAATGTGTTCCAATTCAATGTGTTCTTGTACAGTCCTATATTCATAGGACTGCACACCTATCTCCACAATCTCATTTTAGAGTGTTTTTCTCCACCTCTTACCACTCCCCCAAATTTTGTATCCATTATCCACTCACTATTCTCCACTTCCCCTCAGCCTCTTGAAAACACAAATCTACTTCCTGTTTCTATGGATTTGCATAATGTGGGTGTTTCATCCATAATCTGAATGCTTCTCATATTCGACAGGTTCATTTATGTAGTACTGTGTATCATACCTTCATTCCTTTTTCTTGGCAAGTAGTATTCCTTTGTATGATGAGGCCACTCCTTTATTTATCCATTCCCTATTTGATAGATGTTTTGGCTGTTTCTTCTTTTTGGCAATAATGAATAATGCTGCTGTGAACATTCTTGGACATGTTTTATGTGGACATCTATTTTCATTTATCTTGAGTAGATACCTAGGAGTAAAACTGTCAAATGATGTATCCATATTAGAACTACCAAACTCCCCCAGACTGGTTGTACCATTGCCGAGTGTGGTGGCATACACCTGTAATCTCAGTAGTCTGGGAGGCTGAGGCAGGAGGATCACAAATTCAAGCCCAGAATGGGCATTTTAGTGATTTACTGAGACTCTGTTTGAAAATTTTGAAAGGTCTGGGGAATGTGGCTCAGTGGAAAGGTCCTGGGTTCAATCCCGAGTACCACAGTGATATAGAACCATACTGTGGTTTTGGTTTACATTTTCCAAATTACTAATTTGCATCTTTTTAAGTGCTAGTGAGCCATTTCCACTCAAATTTTGGCTCATCTTTTATTTTTTGTCCTATGTTGAATTATAAGAGTTCTGATATGTTCTAGAAACATGTCCTTTATCAGATATATGACTTACAAAGATTTTTCTCTGATTCTGTGGGTCATCTTTTTACATTCTTGATGGTCTCTTCTGATGCACAAGGGTTTTGTGTATATGTGTGTGTGTGTGTGTGTGTGTGTGTGTGTGTGTGTGCACTACTGGGGATTGAACCCAAGGCTTTTACACCAGGCTACACCCCCAGCCCTTTTTTATTTTTTATTTTGAGACAAGGTCTGGCTGAGTCATTGAGTTGCTCAGGCTGGGCTTGAACTTTCTTTCTTCTTCTTCTTTTTTGGTTTGGTTTTTTTGAGGCAGAGTCTCACTGTGTAGTTCAAGTTGGCCTTGAGATGATTATGTAGCCCAGGCTGGTCGGTAACTCACAGCAATCCTCCTGCCTCAGCCTCCTCAGTGCTGAGATTACAGGCATGCGCTTCCGCTCCCAGTTTGGGTTTGAACTTTTGATTCTCCTGCTTCAGGCCTCAAGAGTACTAGGATTACAGTACACCACCTCATCTGGCCAAGAATCACCCATCCTTAATATCTGATCATCCTTAGTATTTGATCAGGATTCCTCGGCCTCCACCATCCCCTACATGATGTCTGGTCGTGCTGGCGTCTTCAGCAAGAAGCTTGGTAGACTGATTTAACCAGAACTCCCTATCCTGAGGTTTCCTCTTAATAATGTCCCCTCCCCTGACCCCTACGCAGCTGCTAGGCTGTAAATTCCCACTTGCTGCATTGGGAATTAAATCCCGTCTCCATTCCTCACTGTAAGACACCACTGCAGTGATGCCTATTATAAAAAAAATAGTCCCGGTTAGAGTCTTCCTGGTGGTACTTTAAGAAGGATCATTGAATATTTTTTCTTGAACAATTTATGGTCCCTTTTGAGTTAGTTTTTGTATGGTTTTTTTGAATGTGGATGTTCAGCTGTCCTAATACCACTTGTTGAAAAGACTCTTTTTCCTCATTCAAATGTCCTAGCACATTTGTCCAAATATTAGTTGACTACTGTACTAGTTTCCTGGTTGCTCTCCTGACAAGCTATGTGATTCTTAGCAATTTCAAACAACATAAATTCATTGTTTTACAGTTCTAATGAGTAGAAGTCCAACACAGATCTCACTGCACTAATGCGATGGCATCAGGAGGGCTGAGTTCCTTTCTGATGCCTCTGAGGAAGCATCAGCCTCCTTACCTCTGGGTTTCTAGAGGTCGCTCGTGGCTGTGGGTGGGAAATGGCGTGGGTGTGTTCCCTGAGAGTCACGTGCAGGAAGCTTGGTCCCGGGCATGTGCTGTTGAGGCAATGGAAGCTTTCAGAGGTAATTAGGTCATGGGGTATCGCCCTGGGAAGAGATTAGTGCTAATCTGGTGGAATTAGTTCTCCCGAGAATTTCTGGTTATAAGCCAGTAAGCGTGGCCCCTGCATGTCTCTGGCTTCCTCTGTCACCACAGTCTCTTCTGCATGTACTTTTGCTGCTATGATGTCTCCCATGAGACCTTCACCAGGGGCTGAACACCCAGTCTAAGACTTTCAGCCTCCAAAACTGAGCTAAATAAATCTCTTTTCTTTATGAAGTACCCAGGCAGACCAGTATTCGGTTAGTACAACAGAAAGTGGACTAAGACATATGCATTCCTTGGTTTGTGCTCCTCTCCCATGTCTTCAAAGCCAGCGCTGTCACACCTCTATGCTCGGCTTCCATTGTCACATCTGACTTCCAACATTTCTGCCTCCCTTTTGAACTTTTAAGGAGCCTTGTAATTACACTGGGTCCAGCCAGACAATCCAGGATAATCTATTTTAAAGTCAGCTCATTAGCAACCTTACTTTCTCCTTCCCCTCTAGCATAACATATCAGAAATTCCAGGGATTAAAAGTGAACTTTTTGGAGGGAGTAGGGGCGCAGGTCTTATTCTGCTTAAATGTAAGGGTTTATGAAGGAACTCGTAATTCACTTCCGCTGTCTTTATGCCAGTGCTTCACGGTCGTAATTACTGTAGCTTTGCAGTAAGCTTCGGAATTGGGAGATGTGAGGCCTCCAGCTTTGCTCTTCCTCTTCAAGATTGTTTTGGCTACTACGGCTCCCTTGCACGTGAATTTAAGGATCAGTGTATCGATTTTGGCAAAAAAAGAAAAAAAAAAAGCCGGGGATAGCATTGAATCTATATATCTGTTGGGAGAATATTGCTATCATAAGAATACTAAGTTTTTCCAGCCTGTGAATATGAGCTATCTTCCCAGTTTTTACATCTTCTTTAATTTCTTTTCATGATATTTTATAAGTTTCAATGTACAAATCTTGAACTTTTTGTTTTCTTTCTTTCTTTCTTTCACAGCACTGGGGGTTGAACTCAAGGCCTTCACATTGAGTTATATCTCCAGCACTTTTTAATATATTTTTTTAAATTTTGAGACAGGGTCTCGTTAAGCTGCTAAATTGCCCAGGCTAGGCTCAAATTTGCCATCGTCCTGACTGAAGCCACCCAAAATGTCGGGACTATAGGCATGTGCCACTGTGCCTCCTATTTCTAAGTATAGTATTATTATTATTATTTTCTTTTGTGTACTAGTATAAATGGAATAGTTTAAAATTTTCATTTTTAATTGTTTTTTGCTACTGTATAGAAATACAGTTGATTCTTGTATATTGATCTTGTGTTCTTTAACTTTGCCGAACTTGTTTGTTGGTTCTAATGACTGATTTCTTAGTATAGTCTAAGTATAGTCTAATGACTGATTAGTATTAGTATAGTCTAATGACTGATTTCCTTCTAGATCATCATAAGATCATGTCATCTGTGATATAGTGTTTATTTGTTTGGTACCAGGAATTGAACTCAGGGCCTTGCGCTTGCCAGGAAGGTGCTGTGCCACTGAGCTACATCCCCATCCCAATAGAGGTAGTTTTATTTCTTTTTTTTTTTTAGATAGTTTTATTTCTTGCTTCCCAATTTGGATGCTGTTTCCTTTTCTTGCTTACTTCCCTTTCTAGAACCTCCAATAGAACACTGAAAAGAAAGCATAGAGGGTACATCCTGCTGGGCATGGTGGCACACGTGTGTAATCCCAACTACTCAAGAGGCTAAGATGGGAAGCTTCCAAGTATGAGGCCAGCCTGGGCAACTAAGGGAGACCCACCCTTGAAACAAAATAATAAGGGTAGGGAGTGTGGCTGCATGGTAGAATGTTTGCCTAGCAAGGGTATGGCCCTAGGAACACAGTCTCCAAGACTAAAAATAAAAGTAGACATCCTTATCTTGTTCTGGTCTTATAGAAAAAAAAATTTCGTGTTATACCATTAAGTATGGTATTAGTTGTAGTTTTTTTGTAGATGTTCTTTGTCAAATTGAGGAATTTGTCTTCTGTTTCCAGTTTGCTAAATGATTTTATCATAAGGTGTGCTGGGGTTCGTAAAAAATTTTTTCTGCCATCTGTTGAGATGGTCATTTAGTTGCCTTTATTCTATCAATATAGTATATTACACTAA